GCGAAATGGGATTCAACCGAACAAATATAAGGTTGAAAAAGTAAAAAACTATCCCGTGCCAAAAACCCTTAAACAATTAAGGGCTTTCATAGGGTTGGCTTCTTATTACCGGAGGTTCATTAAAAGTTTCGTGACAATTGCCCAGCCCCTGCATAAATTATTAAAGAAAGAAGTTGAATACAAGTGGGACACAGATCAGCAAAAAGCATTCGAAAGACTAAAAGAATGCTTAACGACCGCACCAATCCTCCAGTATCCTAATTTTTCAAAAACTTTCTACTTACATACAGATGCTTCTGGTACTGGGTTAGGAGCAGTCTTAGCACAAAAAGACAAAAAAAATAATGAACATATGATATCATACGCCAGTAGGAGCTTGTCCAGAGCAGAAAGGAACTATTCTGCTATGGAATTGGAATGCCTAGCAGTATTGTGGGCCGTTGAACACTACAGACACTATTTCGGATTTAAGCCCTTTGTAGTGGTAACAGACTATGCAGCACTAAAGTGGCTACACACCTCTAAGCTTACGGGAAAAAGAGCAAGATGGATACTTAGATTACAGCCCTATAACTATACTATTGAGCATAGGGCCAGTAAAATCCATAACAACACGGATGCATTGTTCAGAAGACCTGAAGAAAAGAATGACAGTGTTGGTTCAAAAAAGGAAATCCACTCAATAACCTCAGAAGAAAGAAAAATAAATGAAATAAAATGCCTAGACTGGTTATTAAATTTATTGGAATACAAGCTAAAGGAAAAGAAGTTAGTAAAGAAACAAAAAAACAAGACACAAGAAAAAAAAGGATACAATGGGTGGAGCCAGAATAACGAAAGCTTTGAATACTACCATAAGTTATTAGAAGAAATGCCGTGGGACTACGAAAGCAAATTGGAATGGTTAGACAAAAATAAAGAGCTGTGGTGTGATAGTGAAATAGGAAAAACAAGTGAATCAGAAGATCTTGAATACATAAACGAACCAGAGGATTTGGTTGGAAGTGAATTAACCTACAAAGGAGATTCCGACAAAAGTAGCGATTCCGGCTTCGCCCCTAATCATCAACTTGGTGCCGGAGAAGCTTAGTGGAACCTAAACGAAGATAAAGACCTGGAAGAATATTTTAGGCAAGAAAAAGAATACAAAGAATTATTAGAATCGCTAACCATCGAATCCAGAAGAGAATATACCTGGTTAGAACAAAATGGCTATCAAAGACAATCCGAAAGAAGTTATGGCATAGAAAAAGAACCACCTAACTTAGAAGATATTTACCAAATAAGCTTACCAACTTGGGGGAACGACGAATTCGAAATAGGTACCTCCCATTATTAA